GATTTTGTTTTGAAAGATCAACCGATGGAAGAGCAGCCAAATCATGAGAAACCCAAAAACGACACCAAATTTAAGTCAGAATTGGCGGCCAAACGGAGGGAACGAATAATGGCTCAAATGGCGGCGCTTCAGAAGAGCTTTATTAAAGACAATCCCGATTTCTTCACTTGCGATCCCAAGGTTTCGAACGCCGATTCAATGATGGATTTAACAGTGGATCCAAATGTTGGCGAACCCATTGCTGTCGGAGAGAATCAAATGGGAAAGTCGTTTACCACTGAACGGCACACTTGTATTCTGTGTCGCGAAGAGCAGGAGGTGTCCGTAACGGGTCGTTGTTTAGTCTTATCGGCATTCATCCAAAGATCAACTGTTTTATCGAAGAACCGAAACAGGAAGTTGTCGAGCGATAGCGATAATATCGACCCACTGTTTGTCACTTCTGACCTATACTTCGGGCCTCATATAAGCACTTGCGGTCACGTTATGCACAGCGACTGCTGGCAGAACTTCTTCGACCAGGTTTTAGCTAAAGAAAGGCGTCGTCCCATACGTTACGGCCGACACGTGAGCTTTGATGTCGACAAACATGAATTTCTTTGCCCGCTCTGCGAATGTCTGTCTAATTCTGTTATACCGATAATACCGGCGACCGATACGGAAACCAAACAGACAACTGATAAGTCAAACATATCACTAACTAATTGGTTGAGTGGTTTGCACGCAATCGTCGAGAAAGCGAATCCCGTTTGGATTAGAGATTCGTCACTAATAGGTTTGGTTTGCATTACTATTTAAATATTAATTTGTATTGAAATGATGTGATTATTTTCAGGCGAGAACGTCGGCGATAAGTTTGTCTGTCGTTTTCTGCCACACCTTCAAGAGATCCTCTCAAACGTGTCGATTGAGGCCAAAGAATATCTCGAGAAACTGTTTGAAGAATACCACGAATGCGCTGTCGTTAATGAAGAGCTTTCGCCTTCACTATTAGATGTGATGAAGAATTTTTCTCAAGATGTCTATACTGTATGTGTTGACACATTTGTGTTATTATCTTTCATATCGATTGCAATGTCGACAATAATATTGATTTGTGTTTTTCAGACATCACTTTTGGTGAACCCGAACCCCGACGACGACAGGGTATCTTTGATGACGTACTGGTCGTGCGCTTATACTCTCCATTCAATTGAACGAATGCTTCGATTGGAAGAGAAGTCCATTTTCTCGGATCTATCGTCCCGTAAATACAACTGTTTAAAAGCTATGGTCCGTTACATCGGCTCCAGTATCGCTGTCTTCAGCGACTCTGTCATGAAAAGCCATTGCATACGTATATTACGTTACCTTCTGGTCAATGATTATCATCACTCGAGTTCTAATTGTTGTCTCGATTTGGACGCCTTATCTCTGCTCATATCACTAGTGATCACAACTCCGTCTCTATTTCTCTTTGATATTGATTTGCAGTCTAACAGCAAACTCTACTCAATGTCTTTGGGAAACGTTTCCGATAAACATTATATCAATCTTTTTATTGTCTTCAATATCGTTCAGGTATTCATCAATTCTCGTATAACTTTGTTATATCTATTTCATTAAGTATTTGTATATTTATGATTGAATTTCATTTCAGATAATTTTGACACAAAATTCTGAAGATTATAGCGAAGAGCCGATGGAAACGGAAGAGTCAAACAGTCAAAGCGGTTGTTCTGTAAATAAGTCGTTGCTATCGTTTTATTCAGATGTGATGATAGCTTCGGGTCAGACGAACATTCAAACCCCGAATGCATTACAACTGGAGCTCTCTATTAAAGCAAATTTATTGCCTTTTCTCCGTTCCGTCGCTTTGTTTTTTCACTTTTTAACAAACATTTCTCCGCCACAAAGACTCAAAGATTGCGACCAAACGTTGACTTCGAGTCAAGAGTACGATATTCTTTGTCACTATTTGGGTTTGAATCCCAAGTTTTCAGTCCTACTCGAGAGTACATCTCTGCGACAGTTGGCGCTGATATGGGCGCGACATCCGAGAGTGCATCTCATTATCAATCAGAATAACACGGAAGTTGAGTCTCCCATTGAATTACAGCCAAAACTGATAGCCCAACCGCACGCTCTCAACCATTTGGTGCAATTACCCAACGATTACAGTGATCTCATCAATAGTGTGTCTCAGTTTACGTGTCCCAACTCGGAAGGCGACGACTCACGCTCTCCCACCATGTGTTTGGTACGCCATTATATGAACGCATAGCTTATAATTGTCTAACCATTGTCTGTGGCATAGGTTTGTGGGACGATATTGTGTTCGCACAGCTATTGTTGTCAGAAGGAGTTGGAGGGCAGTATGGTTGGGTCGTGTACATGGCACTCGCACTTCTGCGGCGCCGGTCAGGGCATGTTTCTCCGCATTAGGGACTGCAAGATCTTATTGTTGGCCGGAAAGACCAAAGGTTTGTCACCACACATACGCCGCCCATTGTTTGCATGTTTTGATGTGCTTTTAATGCTCGAATCGGTTGAATAGGTTGTTATTCTGCGCCGCCATATGTGGACGAATACGGAGAAACAGATCAGGGGTTGATTCGCGGCAATCCATTACATTTGTGTCACAATTCGTACGCAGAGTTGCATAGACTGTGGTACCAAGTTTTCAGTCCTACTCGAGAGTACATCTCTGCGACAGTTGGCGCTGATATGGGCGCGACATCCGAGAGTGCATCTCATTATCAATCAGAATAACACGGAAGTTGAGTCTCCCATTGAATTACAACCAAAACTGATAGCCCAACCGCACGCTCTCAACCATTTGGTGCAATTACCCAACGATTACAGTGATCTCATCAATAGTGTGTCTCAGTTCACGTGTCCCAACTCGGAAGGCGACGACTCACGCTCTCCCACCATGTGTTTGGTACGCCATTATATGAACGCATAGCTTATAATTGTCTAACGATTGTCTGTGGCATAGGTTTGTGGGACGATATTGTGTTCACACAGCTACTGTTGTCAGAAGGAGTTGGAGGGCAGTATGGTTGGGTCGTGTACGTGGCACTCGCACTTCTGTGGCGCCGGTCAGGGCATGTTTCTCCGCATCAGAGACTGCAAGATCTTATTGTTGGCCGGAAAGACCAAAGGTTTGTCACCACACATACGCTGCCCATTGTTTGGATGTGCTTTTAATGCTTGAATGCCAACTTATCCAACAATAAGACGCGGCGGTATACACCTGCTTATGCCTCTTTGTCTAGTCCCCAACTAAGCGCCGTTAGGTAATGTAAACACAGTGTTAAGCATGCGTCTCAACGTATCTGACACCATAAGACACGGCATACCGGAACAGATCGCCCACGCGTTGGAGACGTCCAGCAATTTGGCCGCTTTTAATTGGCAGTTATTATAGATTATTATTTATTTTATTAGATATTTTAAGTTCGGATTTGATTATGACTTTTGAATGTAGAGTTTGAAAGAAAGCAATTTAAATACTAAACTCAACAAAGCGTACAAAACAATTGAATGATTTTAATTAAACATAAATTGCATGAAAATTGCTGAATTTTACGGACTGTTATGCATTTTATATATATTTTGCTCAGATTTTACTGTATATTTAAAGCCAATGTATTGTACGTAATGTTTAATAATTATTAATTAATTAATATATAATTGGAGAATATTTTATGCATTATTATATAATTCTTATCAATGAACCAAACAATCGGTTTTTTTAAATTTTCTTTAAAGCCAATGTATTGTACGTAATGTTTAATAATTATTAATTAATTAATATATAATTGGAGAATATTTTATGCATTATTATATAATTCTTATCAATGAACCAAACAATCGGTTTTTTTAAATTTTCTTTACAATAATGCTTTTAAATCCGGGTCTTTTTAATTCCGACTCATGGGGGAGAAAGACGGGGGGTAACTGACATGCGAGGATTTTTAGTAAACATGTGTGGATGTTTTAGTAGGTTATTATCTCCCTGTCGGAATTAAAAAGACCCGGATTTAAAAGCATTATTGTTAGTTTTTGTTTGTAATGTTTTTCAATAAAGAAAAATGATTTGTGTTTTAAAGGTTGAAAATTTCTTTATATAATGTGTAATAATTGTAAATAATTTATAAACTAAAACATGTGTTCAGAAATTTAATTAGTTTTTGTTTGTAATGTTTTTCAATAAAGAAAAATGATTTGTGTTTTAAAGGTTGAAAATTTCTTTATATAATGTGTAATAATTGTAAATAATTTATAAACTAAAACATGTGTTCAGAAATTTACTAAAATTATTAGTTAATTAAGTAATCACTGAATATAACAAGAAATTCAGTGTTTCGTCAAATTCAAAGTCTGACGTAATGTTTGGCACAAAACAAAAAGCATAACAAAAGTGTTGACGAAAACAAATTGTATGGCATTTGAAAGCAATGATTGAATTGTGATTTAAATAGCCATCAAAAGAGTAATATATCACCGAAACTGATCCAATGGATGCGGTGTCTGTGGGAGCGATGGGAGGGGTGGGCGCGCGTCGGGTGCCCTCAATGGTGGCACAACAGGAGTACTTACTTCAGGGATCAATTCTGGACGACTCTTGTGAGCAATTGCTGCACAAATTGCGGGGTTTTTGCGATAATTGCGATTCCAGTCCCGAGACGTTTCACGACCACGAGATGGTCTTCACCATCAGAGCGCCCAACGGTTCCAACACATCCCTGAGAGTGCGCAAGTCGTTGGATGTGCCGCACAATCCCTACCACTTGCGATACTTAGGCCAACAGGAGTTGGGCGACAAGAATAGGGCCACAATTGTCCGCAATTGCATCGATTGCAGCACTTCTTCGGATTGCGTGCCATTCCTTCAGGAGATGGGATTCAAACTGGACTACGAGTTCGTACTCAAGGGTTATATGTTTCGTAAGGGAAGGATGAAAGTGATGGTCTCGAAGCTGTTCCGCGTTCAGCCCAACGCCGGTCCCGAAGCACTCGATCCCATCTCTCAGTCATATTTGGTTGAGTTGAGTGTCAACGCGCCCTCTGGTCAGGAGGGCATCGCCGACGAGATGAAACTCTTCGCCGATTCACTCAAACCACTCGTCATTCTCGACAAAGTGGACACAAGAAGACTACAGATGTGATCGCAACTCATCTTCTCATTCATACTATCAAACCATTCAAATCATGTCTTATATTATAATTCAATTAATGTTTATTTAAATGACTTTTAATTTACAAATTAAATCTAATTTCAAACAAAGACTAAATCTATTGATTATTATTGTAATTATAAATCGTTGTCTAAATTTATACGAAATAATGAAAAGGCGATTATTTGATGGCATAGTCTTCGGGATAATCGAAAACTTTGGGAAACTCTTTGAGCTCATCGTCGGTGAACTGATCCAAGCGTTTGGGAATCGGTCTGAGTTGTCGGATCTGATGCGAGACGTTATGCATGATATGTTGCGGTATCTGATCGTCGGGAAAGATATGCAACCGAGCGATCAGTTCCTGTCGCTTGAGTTTCACGTTTCCGACCGCTTTGTAAATGGCTTTATATAAGACAAGTGTCGGATCCTTTTGGTGCAACTCGTGAGCGGCGGCCCAGTGTTTGCCGCGAGCGTAATGTGTGTGATGGTAATAGTGGCGGTACCGCCACTCGTCGCCCGGCATCGACACCCGGCGGGCGTTCATCACCACCACGTGGTCGCCGAAGTCCTGGTCCGGATCGTAGATGGGTTTGTGGCGGCCGTGAAGATGGCGTGCGACCAACTCAGCCGAATCAAACGCGTCCTGCCATTGGGCGTCGTATAGAGACCACTGTCTCGCGAAGACCAGCCATTGGTTGACCCGACGGAAGGACGACAGACCACTCATTGGTTGGCCACTAGTTTTCGGCACTAAATGTGTGTTGGATTTGATTGTTTTGTCGCAAACAAAGTGACCGACAGTTTGTTTACCATTCAATCCATGCCTTACTCTCACTGTTAGGCCATCTGTTGAGCCGTTCATACAATTCACTCATTTTAATGAACAAAACTTTGGCTTTTAATTGAAAATTAAATTTATTAACAAATGAATGAAATTAATAACAAAATCTATTGAAATGATAATTAATGTCATTATTATTCAGAGTCAGAATCAGAGTCTGAATCATGCGTTTCTTGTGAATGCTGTTCATTATTGATCTCTGGGGTGATGTCGATGTCTGTGGCGTTTTGAAGTGCACTGAACTTCTTAATGATGTCTTTAGCGATGTTGAAGACACCATTGGTTGGATTCATGCAGACATAGCAACGGCTGGTCTTTTTAAAGTGATTGAGTGCACACTTCTCGCAGAAGTAATGCTTACATTTGGTGACCACTGGATCCACGAAAGTCTGGCGACACAACAGACACTTGAAGGGCAGGTCGTCGTCCTCTTGGATCAGATACTTGTCGGGGTCGTCATCGATGTCTTTGTTCTGCGAGTCCATCTCCAACTGCCAGCCGGCCTTATAGTCGCTCCTGTCGTGAAGGAATATACACGAGTCGCCGAACCCGCAAAAGCCGGTCTCCTTATAGTCTTTGCAGAGGTCCGGCTGATAGTCCCACCGAACCGTTGAGCGGATATTCTCTGGCGCTCTGACGGGTCCGTTGCGGTTGTGTCCGGACGAGGCGTTCCCCTGAGGCGTGTCTTTCTTCGTCTTGTATTGAACCGAATTATTGAGTCCTCTACCCACCGAACCGTTGACCGGATATTCTCTGGCGCTCTGACGGGTCCGTTGCGGTTGTGTCCGGACGAGGCGTTCCCCTGAGGCGTGTCTTTCTTCGTCTTGTATTGAACCGAATTATTGAGTCCTCTATAGATGTGATCGTCTTCTTTGCCTTTCAGTGTTTTGTTCACTTCCATCGCCCGCTCGAAGATGCTCTGGGCGTCCATCGACTTCTCGGTCTCCGTCTGGACGCCGGCAGTGGCGCCCATGTCTTGCGGGCCATCTCTTTGCGCGCTTCTGTTGGACCGATAGGTGACGGTTAAGGAGTCGTCGTTGGAGTCGTTGTCGTCGTTGGTCTCCGAAACCACTTTCCGTTTCTTGAGTTTATTGAACGAAACGGTCGACTGAATCAATGGGTTTCTGTCCGCCCGACGGCTCGTATTCACCACAACCGCAGACTCGTTGTCCTCCTCTTCGCCCGAAGACGAGTCGTGTCTCACATTCTGTCGCATCTGACGGTTGGATCGGCTCTTCTTCACGAAGAAGTGACACTTATTTGAATCGCCGGACTCTTCAGTCGATGCCATCATTTAAGACAAAACTTTAAACCATTTATTGATTACAATTTGATTCAATCAAAAACAATACGTTTACTGTTAACACCTCTACCAATAAAATCATTCATAAATATCGTAACAAATTTATTAGATTTTATATCAATTTAATTAAACTAAAATTATGAGCATGATCAGTTATTTCAATTAAATATATACTATAATTGATACTCTTTGGATATGCTGATTGTGATTAGAGACCAATGAAGTGAACACGTGGTCATTATTTGACATTCATTAAACTTCTATTGCATAATAGATAAGTCATTCAATTTTAATGACTTTTGACGCTATAATGGCTATTGTTTTGTCAACTTTTCTATACAACTATTAAACCTATGGTCTTATTAATAGAAGTTTTAATGCAATTCTCATTGAAATAAAAGCATAAAAATGGCATAAAATATACAATTTATAAATCAAATCCATATAATAATCGTTAGTTTGTCTCTATTACCCAATCGCAAACTCCACAACATTCTCATCTCCACAATCGTCACTAGCTCACCACGTCACTAACTTTTCAATCAGCGAAACTTTGCTTAGTGAGTAAGTAACGAAGTGAGTAATATATCTCGTATTAAACGTCTCAACACTTTATACCAGTCTTTGTCTCTATAGTGGACTCGCATTGCATCGAAACAGGCATTGATTGAGTCCTTTAGCTGATCCACTGATGGCCACAACCATACCATCAAAGCACTGACACTAACCACACATTACCACACATTCGCAGAGAGCAGTGAAGACAGCACTGGTTGGCAACGGCTCTCATCTAAGCAAACAATAGTACTATTATTTTTGTCACACATTTTACTCATTTGTAATCACTTTCTCATCAATTATTTTTCATCCAATGCTCGCATCGCTTGACAATCAGTCGTGGATCAGGTGTACGGATCGGTCGGCCAGATATTGTGCTGAGCGATGGAATGCCCGCACTTGTGTCAACTCAATGGCGCCAAAGTGGCCAACAATCCGGTCTTGAAGTGGTTGACGGCTTCGCCAGACTTTGAGTGCTCTGTCTGTAAGTCGAAGAAGAGTTCTTGGATTTGTGTCCATTGCGGTCAAGTCGGGTGCGGCCGTTATGTGAGCGGACACGCGAAACAACACTTCGAGCAAATGGCCGCACATTCGCTGTGCTTTGATTCCGACTCTTTCGCCGTCTTTTGGTCAGTATTTGTGTCCACCGATTATCCCATTCTTCGGCCGTCACTCGTATTCAATGCCAGTGATAGCGATCAATACAATGATAATAATGAGAGTGTTGTCCATATCTATCAATAGTTATCTTTGCGATGACTTTGTGGTGAACGACACGCGAACTCGTCTTTTACATCATCTGAGGAAAAAATTTCAATCAAATAACGAGTAATTTTGCGATCAATTGTTTATTGAATATTAATGTTTATTGTTTGTACGGATAGTCCGGAAAACTGTGGTCACACTCAGAGCCAACAAAACGCACAAAACATGAAGTCTTGCGGAGTCGCATGTACGGATCGGTCGGCCAGATATTGTGCTGAGCGATGGAATGCCCGCACTTGTGTCAACTCAATGGCGCCAAAGTGGCCAACAATCCGGTCTTGAAGTGGTTGACGGCTTCGCCAGACTTTGAGTGTTCTGTCTGTAAGTCGAAGAAGAGTTCTTGGATTTGTGTCCATTGCGGTCAAGTCGGTTGCGGCCGTTATGTGAGCGGACACGCGAAACAACACTTCGAGCAAATGGCCGCACATTCGCTGTGCTTTGATTCCGACTCTTTCGCCGTCTTTTGGTCAGTATTTGTGTCCACCGATTATCCTATTCTTCGGCCATCACTCGTATTGAATGCCAGTGATTGCGATCAATACAATGATACTAATGAGAGTGTTGTCCATATCTGTTAACAGTTATCTCTGCGATGACTTTGTGGTGAACGACACGCGAACCCGTCTTTTACATCATCTGAGGAAAAAATTTCAATCAAGAAACGAGTAATTTTGCGATCAATTGTTTATTGAATATTAATGTTTATTGTTTGTACGGATAGTCCGGAAAACTGTGGTCACACTCAGAGCCAACAAAACGCACAAAACATGAAGTCTTGCGGAGTCGCGGGTAAGAGGAAGGGTTCGCTTGAGAACCAACAACAGTCCTCGAAAAAGGTATTGTAAACGGCATTGAATTTAATTGCAATTTAAAACTAATCGTATTCTGAAATAAACAGATGAAAGCGAAGCAAAGGCTGTCCAAAGCACGAGCCGCTGGTCTCAGGAATTTAGGGAACACTTGTTTTATGAATGCAGTCCTCCAGTCATTGAGTAATATTCAACAATTTAGTTGTTATTTCAAACAATTGCCGGCTTTGGATAAGCATCGCTGGAACGGCAGCCGAACGGCCATCGCTTCGGCCAAACGGATGACCGACGGCGACGCCCTATTGGCCGAAGAGTTGCGAAAGACGATGATATCTCTGTGGGAGGGCAGTAAGTCTGCCATTTCTCCCGAATCTTTGTTTTCTGTGATATGGAAAGTGGTTCCGCGGTTCAGAGGTTATCAACAACAAGACGCTCACGAATTCCTGCGATATATGTTGGATAGACTGCACACAGAATTGTTAGGCATTGTTCCCAATACTATCAAAAGGCATAACAACACACGAAACTTCCTGCAGTCGCCGACCGGGAAGTCAACGATCGTTACCTCCATTTTTGGTGGCGTTCTTCAGAATGAGGTGACGTGTCTGGTCTGCAGAACCGAATCCAAAAAACACGACCCCTTCCTCGACCTATCGCTAGACATTCCTCAGATGTGCTCAAACGGCAAGAATGGTGTCACTGAAGAGACGGTCCAGAGTTGCCATTTGTCGGACTGTCTCTCCAGTTTCACAGAACTCGAAGAATTGGCCGAAACAGAGCTTTACAACTGTCCGAACTGTAAACTCAAGCAAAGGTCCACAAAACGATTCTGGATTAGAAGGCTTCCTAATGTGAGTCAAAAAACAATACAATCAATTAATTGACACTAAAATTGAATGCATTTTCAGGTACTTTGTCTACATTTGAAACGTTTTCGTTGGAATAACTTCTTCAGAACCAAATTAGATAATTATATTGAATTTCCGGTCAAAGGTCTCGATATGAGTTCATATGTTCTCTCAAATATGGTATACAACGTTATGTCTAAATAATAGTACTGTTATTTGAATTGCAATTGATTTTGATGCACAGCACGAAACTCGAGGCAATGCCTGCGGTAGTACTTTGTATGACTTGGCGGCCGTTATCGTACATCACGGCAATGGCGCTGCTTCTGGACATTACACTTCTTATGCCACTCACGAAGGTTTGTATTGACAATGGATTGTAATATTGTATTAATTGTGATGTGAATGGAATGAACAGACAGTTGGCATCACTTCAACGACAGCTCAGTGACCGTATGTGATGAGCAAACTGTGTCCCAAAGCAAAGCCTATATCCTGTTCTACATTCGCCGAGAGCTCAACTTAACGCCATTCACGATATGATACACACGAGTGATAAGTATTTGTCGATTGAATTTGCATTCAAACTATTTTTGATAGAAATGCTATTGTATTACAAGATAACCCGTTTGTAAATTCATTTAGTATTCAAATACAAAACAAATATTTAATTTTCAACAAAAAAATATCGAAATTTATTTCAAATTTTTATGAAATAATTTTTATAATATGTATAAAAATGTTAATTTATGTATATATTAATAATGTATTGACTATTTTTCCTATGACTCGAGTAGCGCTTCGGCCTTCCGTTCCTTTACTTTCGGTATCTTTTCCTCCATTTCTTCAATAATTACCGCTAAATATAATTGCATTAAATCTCGTCATAATTGTTATCATGTATTCATTGTTAAACTTACGTTCATTTTGTGGCACTTCAGGCAAATCTGGTATAACTTCTTTCTGTTGGTCTTCTTTCTGACCCAACATTTGGTCTAATTCTCGCATCAAATCCTCTTCGTCTGCATTGATATTCATACCGAGGAGGAGATCATCGATTTCCTAATCATTACAAACAAAATGATTACTAAAGAGTTTGTGTCAACGAATCAAACCTTTTGTTTTTCGATGCCTTCTCTCGTGTCCTCTAAAATCTCTTCAATTTTATCGATGGATAAGATTTGATGCAATTGTTTGAGCGCATCGTTTCCAGTCTGAAGGCCTTCTAATACTGTGGCCTCTATTCGGCTGAACTCGATATCAATGACCAGTTTCTCTAAATTCATTAACTGGTTATCAGTTTTCTCTAAAATACTTTCCATCAGTTTCTTCTTCTTCAGCAGCAGAAGTGCTTTCCTTTTCATACAAAACAAAACTCAATCAAAAAACACCTGAAAAACCAATCAATAAAAAATGTACTCTTTTTTGTTGTCTTTGAGTAACTGTCGGGCGATTTGTCTCTCTTTGTCCAACTCTTGGACGATCCTCTTCTGGTACTTCTTCACAGTATCTCTTTGTTGTTTCAGTTGCTGTCAAATGGGAGTAAACAATGAGTGACTGATTGTGTGATCATATGGTTTGGTTGGCATGGCTTACGAGGATTGCTTTGTCCGCTTCGGTCACAACAATCACTGTCTTCTTGGGCTTTGGTTTACCGAAAATGTGACCCATTTTTGAGACCAAACTCGCGATACTATCACTACTTTTCGGTTACTATTTCTCAATACATAACACAATTAATTGAGTCATTCATTGTTTGTCATCACTTTTGCCATAAATTATGTCACTTTTCAGTCCACTATTTAACGCTCTGTTTCTCATTATATTCCCATTAAATGCCTTTTATTTGTTAATATATTATAAAATTAGTTAATTGTGATTAAATTATTTACTTATTTTAACTTTATATTAATTACACATAAAATTATTAAATAAAATTAAAAGCGAAAAATACTCGTAATTTATGTCATTTAAAATACATGTAAAAGTTGTTTATAATTAAAAGCAAAAAACATTGGATTTGTTATTGTTTTGAATGCAAATCATTGATTGAATAGTGGATTGAATTGAAGGCATCAGTGATTGAAATGTAAGTTTGAATCACACATTGAATGTCTGGCAATGAAGTAATGCATTGATTATCTGTACTAAAGGGCCGACTATTGGAAATCACTGCCGAAGAAGTATTGCGATTTCTGCAAGTGTTGGTTCGCCGACAACAAAGCCGTAAGTCTTTGCCATCATTTGATCCATTGATTGGCCTTTTCTATACATTATATGATCTTTTTATCGATCCGATGGACAGAGCGTTGAGTTTCACGAAAGAGGTTTCAGACATCAGTTGAATGTGAAGAGAAAACTACAAGACGTGAGACAATTGGACACATGTTTTGACTATACATTATATGATCTTTTTATTGATCCGATGGACAGAGCGTTGAGTTTCACGAAAGAGGTTTCAGACATCAGTTGAATGTGAAGAGAAAACTACAAGACGTGAGACAATTGGACACATGTTTTGGTTGCAAACAATTAATTGATTTAATTTGTGCCAAATATTAGTTACAAAGAAAGGGATCAAAACAAGTGATAGAAGAGAATAAATACAACTTAGAAATGATGAAAATAGAGAGTCAGGCGCTGAAGGCCTTCCAATCGGATGTCTCCCAAAACCCCGATTTGGGCAAAGAGTTGGCCACAAATGTGTCGCTCTTTAAGAAGAGCCACAAAACTGAATCGACGGCAAAACCAATGTCTTCGCGTTATGGCGACGACGACTCGGCAACCGGTGAGGAGAGCACTACTCTTGTGATCGGACGACAACGAGCTCTCGAAACGATCGCTAAGAAGATGGAGAAGAAGAGCAAATGGTTGGAGAGAAAGACAACCGAAGGGAAGACATATTACGTGAATAAAGAGACATTCGGTACTAATTATATCAACCGTTGAATGTCTTATCGTTTAATAATATTCTGCCATTTGTTTAGAGACCAAATGGACTAGCCGGTCCGTACAATCCTTACGGCAGATGGAAAACAGTGGCCAACAGAGAGTTTGACGACAAAATGATTGATTTACAGCTTCCGGACCAACAGTTGCCACAAATTGTTGCGCCGATTGTCGCCGACAGCGACAGAGAAGTGAAGATTGAATTCTCGGAGAAAACTGTGGATTCGCTTAAAAACAAGTTTAACTCAAGCGTTAAGAAAGAGGAGAAAATTAGTTTTAAAAAACGAAAAACTGATTCCAACCGAAGTGTTAGACAAAGAACTGACGATTGATTGCCAATTAATCGGACACATGATTACCTCATTGTTTTCATCACATTATTATAAATTCATATTTAATTTACATTTTATATATTTTATCTAAAATAAGACCAATTTTTGGTGAATTATGAATAAATATTTACAAAATGTGTTTATTTAAAATGATTTGTTTACAATGGGACCCCGATTTAGGAACACTGTATGTCACTCTATCAGTTAAAAGGTGTACTGTTTCTACAAGAGATCAACTTTTGCATTATGATATGAGAGAATTTCATATATCTGGTAATTCTATGCAAGCTCCAATTTTAAAATTGCTCTCATTTGAAAACAAATGGACTGATTTTAATAAAAGTTTATTTACGGTAATATAGAAAAAAGGAAGGTTTGTGGATCTGGTGGTACACAATGTGCATAGAGTCCGTATAGACTCTATACGGAGTTTAGTGGTATACTTCATGTGATGACTTCGGGTTTGGCCACAATCACCACTTATATCGGGAAAAATTGAAAAATAAAATATGTTTTATGACTAATCCATCAAATGGTATTACCCATTTAAAAGTTGTACATGTTAAAGTGTGAAATTAAATTATGTTTTACCGGTTACACAATTATGGTAACTATTTTATATCAACTAGCCGTAAAATGCAATACTTTTTTATCTTAAATAAATTGTTTTATTATTTCATTAAATATGTTGATTGTTCTCTTTTGGTCATATGTTTGTATCAAACCAATTGCTTAAATGTCTTCAACATATATACAATAATTTAATTATAAAATTATTTATTTCCTTAATTTAGTCAATAATAAGAATAATTATAATAATAATAAGTCATGTGTTTTGAAAATAAATTATTTTTTGGTTAAAATGTGTAGTTTTGGTACAATATTTACAATTTTCGTTTACGAAAGTGAAAAATAATTAGTTTATAAGTAAAACAGGTGTTAGGAATGGGGTGTGAGAGGCATTCCGGCCATTATGATTTGCCGCAATTGTGGTAAACATTTGCGCAAAACATCCACGAATACCAGTTTATCTCCTTGAAGGGGACGGACGCCACTCCTCACAAACGTGTCCTCATGTAGTCTACGGTATAACAAATGATATAACAAATGAGTCATTACATGATATGGGGGTAGGGGTGGGGTATGGGTTGACACAAACCTCGTGCACTCGTATAGCTTGACCTGAAGAATCTTCTCGAGTATGTAGTGAGCGGTGAGAATAGAGACGCCTCTAAACATTTTGGTCACAACATCGCTCACAAACACCGCCTGTTGTGTGGAATAGGGCTTTAAGTTAATCGCCTTCAATGCGAAGCCGTTTATGTC